CCAGGTTCTTCTCTTTTGAAATGAATGCTTCAGTTCCTGTCACATAAAGATGACCACAACATTTTAAAGAATGTGCACATTAGGCCATTGCTCTTGGGAAATAATTCAAAAATATCCTACATTTCTAGCAAGCTAACAGGATTTGTTACCTGGTCCTAAAGACAACTGATCCAGTCTGGTCACATCTATATTGTTAAACTCTCACTATCTTCCTGAATAGGACAGATGCATCCAGAATACTGATTGTCACCTTTCTGATGTGTTCATTTTCCCAAACCAAAAAGATTTAATGGACCATGATAAGAATTTATCTGTAGAGATGACAGTGCCAGTGCTCACCTCATCCTCTGACACTTTAATCTGCTAATACACTAGTAGCACAAGTGAAAAGAGTAGTCATATCTTCAGAGTGCAGCAGACTTCAATATGCTGTTTCCTACTGCCTACTTCCAGGCAGCTCCTGGGTGACCTCTGGGCTTCCTGGGGATTGTCCCTTTGGAGATTTTTCACTCTTGCTAGTGAATGCACAGAATGGTGAGACACATAGGCCTGACACTTCATCAGGGTATGTATGTGCGTAGTGCAAAGCCAAGACTGTGTCATGCATGGTAACTTTTACTTAACCATCTGTGTACCTTTGTAAAACATATATTGGCTATCTTAATCATTTGATTAAGAGCTATGGATTTTAAGGTAGCCTTAGGCAGTTTGAAATACCATTCAGATCTGTACACGAATATATTCTGTTTTAAACTAAAAATAAGATTTTAAAACACTATGGTTAAACCAGTACAATGACGTGCTTGGAAATGCTCATACCCCTCCAAACCTGATTTATATAATATAGCTGAGACTTCATGAAATCCCACAATGAAAAACATGAGATTAGCAAGTATTCAGAAGTGGATGCCAGAGGCTCACTGTTTAGTGATAGAAGCAGGGAAAGGATATGATATGAAGATTGTTAATAATTATCAAACTAGGCTATTTTTAAATTGTTTATTAAGCAATATATGATATTTATTTGATATCATATGATTTTTTGCATGATTTGGTGAAATCACATAAAACCCAGGCTTCCACTTGAAAGATACAATGAATGCACAACTGTAGTTATCTCTTCAGTTTTTATTAGATAACAAGAACATATTGACTTTTTCCATGGTATCTTTTATGGTCTGGGACTTTCTTATTAATTTTATATTTATTATCTATGCAAGCTTTGTGGCAGTCCCTTGAAAAGTTAAATGTAAGGCCTTGTGCCTCACACTTATTGCAATAACTGTGATCTTACTGGTTCTGTTGGTACATTTATCAAGATGTTTGACTTGCAAACACCTTTGACTATTTACAATTCTGAAACTTCTCTCTTTGATCTTATTTATACAAAGAA